CATGGTAACCATTATGTACTCGGGAACAGATTCTGCTCAGAAATGATTCTTTTTTATTCCGTGCATGGGCACAATTTCTAAGCATTTGAAGACGTTTGGGCTGCGAATGGTAACCATTCTGTTTCTCTATTTCTATTCCAGAAATAGGTTTGGAATAGAAATCTGTTTGGTAACGAAATTCCAATTTCTATTTCTGGAACAAATTTTTGTTTCAGAAATAGGTTTGGAACAGAAATCAGAAGTTAAAATTTTTTGCTTCTCTATTTCTTGAACAGAAATGAGAAACAAATTTTTTTTATTCTTCTCATTACTTTCCCACACTAGCCCTGGTCGCTCACCCGCCCATCATTGCCGCCGCCACTCGCCGACCGGGCCGCTACCGCCGCCGCCGCCTACCCTCCTCCCCCTACCGACGGCCGCCACCAACCACCGTCTCCGCCGCCACCCGCCTCCCACCACCAGCCTCCCTCCTCCCGCCACCGCCGCTCGCCTTTGGCCGCCGCCCACCTCCCACTGCCGACCGCTGTGGGCCGCCGGCCTCAGTAGGCCGGCCACCGTCTCCCGCCACCACTCGCCTCCCACCCAGCCTCTCTCCTCCCGCCACCACGCCCACCTCCCACTTTGCCCGGCCGCCATCCACGGCCACCATCTCCCACCACGCCGCCTCCTCCCGCAGCCGCCGCCGCCGTAGTCCATCGGCCACGATCTCTCGCTGCCGTGGTGGCCACTATCTCTGCCGCCAATCACCTCTTTTGCGCCACCACCTCCCACCGCCGGCCACCGCCCGCCATCCATCGGCCACCATCTCCCATCGTCGGCCACCGTCCTCCCACCGCCGGCCACCGTCTCCCGCCACCCGCCCTCCTCCCGCCTCCATCCACCGCCCGCCAACCACTCGAGAAAAAGAAATTTTGTGCTGTTATCAAACAAATTTCTGTTTCTAGAACAGAAATTTTGTGTTGTTATCAAACGAGTTTTTTTTGCTAAGAAACTCCTCTAGGAACAGAAATAGAAAAATCAATTTCTGGCCAGAAATTGATTTCTGAAATAGAATGGTTATCATTCGCAGCCTTGGTAACTGCCCAAAATTTCTATTCTTAGAATAGAAAAAGAACAGAAATGCGTTTGGTAACTACACAAAATTTCTTTTTATTAATAATATTTTGAATTTTTTTAATATTTCTTTCTTTTTTTTTCTTCTTTTTTTCTTTTTTTCCTTGGCCATGGCCGGTCGCCGATGTCGGCGCCGGCGATCGGCAATAGGCCAAGGCCGGCGAGGGCGTCGCGGCCCTTGCTGTCGCCACCCCCGGCGACGGTGAGGTCGAGCCTCATCTGGCCAAGGCGAGGCCGACCTTGCCGTCGCCACCCCCCGCGACGATGAGGTCGGCCTTGCCATGGCCGGGCAAGGCTCGACCTCGCCCAAATCTAGCGAGGCCGACCTCGCCGTCACCGGGGGTGGCGACGGCCAGGTCGGCCTCGTCAGATCTGGGCAAGGCCAACCTCCCTGTCAGCGAGGGCCACCCTCGCTGGTCGCCGATGGTCGGTGGCCGGCGGCGGGTAGGGAAGAAAATGAATAACAAATAAAAAAGAAAGAAGAAAATCAAGAAGAATCAGAAATGGAAAAATTGTTCAAGAAGCTACTTTTTTTTGCTTCTTGATTCTGTTTCAAAACTGATTTTGGGAACAATTTTTTGCAAATTCGTGCCCGGGCACAAGAATTTTAACAACGGATCAAACTGATTATAAGAACAAAAGAACAGAAATTTTTACTATACGGCAAGTTGCCGAACAGCCCCCTAAGCTTGTCACTACCTGGAACAGTGCATGAAACAGCGTTTTACTTTCACTAGTCAATCCAAGTTGACCAATTGAGCTAAAGCATTTCACTCATGATTAATGAAGAAATGAGCTGATGACAAATGACAAATCACTTGATATAGCTTCAAATTTCAACGTTAATATACAGGCACAATAGAAACTAGACCTCTCTGAAAAAAAGGAAGAGCAATTTGGACTTGAGATATGGAAGTGTTTACCATTCCGGCAGTTACGAGCCTCAACATGAGTGAGGCAAATATGGCCCAACAAGAGCTGAGCCACCCAATAGTATATGGCTTGGATAAACGAGATCCTCCCTCCGACGAGCGAGCCGAGAGTGACCGCAGGATTCACATGGCCTCCCAAGATGTTAATGCTTGACGCGACCGCTGCGAACAGCGCTAGCCCGTGTGCAAGTGCAATTGGCTATCAATGAAGATGCTGGTCTAGTTACACCGGTATCTATCGGGTACATTTTGTCTACAAAACGGAACATACGTATGGATGATTTTTAACATGGCTTGCACGTATCATCTAATCTTCACATTTTAATACAGTAAAAAGAAAAATAAGAGCTTGAACAATTATAAATAGATGGCTTGGACTTTCATGCATTGTGGTCCGTGTAATTGCATGCGAAACTTGATTGAATCAGTTGTTTACGAGTGCTACTCGGGTAGCGGGTATAGTGAAAACTCGATGTTCTTGGTCGATCATCAAAATCGATACGTCGAATCCTCTCGGTATCACGAAGTTTGATACTCAAGACTGCCTTGTTTATGTAAAACCCATTTCACGCAGCCATCTTTTACGGTCTAGGAGTAAATGAAAGAGCATCATTAAATATCAAAACCATGCACTCACAAGACAAGTCTCAAACTCGTTCAATATCTACATGTTAAGCGCCATCCTCCTCCAATCATATTAAGAATTCGATGGTGATCGAAGAGAAAGAGACATGGGGAAAATCAACATACCGAGAGCGAGAGCCGAGCCCTCGCCGGCGAAGATGAAGATGAAGGTGGAGAGGAGCTTGGCCAAGGTGGCCCTCATGGAGTCCGGATGGGTCGCCTCGTTGGCCCTCCCTCCCGAACACGTACGCACGAGCCGGAGCTGGCATTTTGAGCTTGCCTTGCCGCTTCAGAAAGAGAAACTATCCAAGCGTTGAGGGGTTTGTGAAGAATCGAAACAATGGAGAAGGTGAGCAAGATGGAAGATGGAAGATGAAGACGGAAGGTTGGTGATGAGAGAGAGGGCTTCTGCATGGGCGAGAAGTGGAGGGAGTGTCTGCATAAAATGGACGAGGAGAGGCTTAGAGCCATGTGGGACACTTGTTGATGTTCTTTGCAATGGAGTTGCCACGTTGAGAGCTTGGGGTGCTGAAACCTCCCCCGTCTCTATCCCTTTCTTCTGCTTACTTCATTCATAAGGAGTTCCAAGCCTCACCTCCTTGTAAGATAATGAGCGACTTGAAACAGATTACTTTAAGAGACTCGTGGAAACATCCTGTAAATCACACGACCAGCTCGAATGCAAGTTTTGGTCCACGCAAGTAACGTCGATCTGGATCAGCTCGCATGCAGTTTGCGAGATTTGAATGGGCTATCAAAAGTTTCGGGGCGACCTGATTAATTACGTCAATTCTGGGGATGACAATCGAGAGTTTAAATGTGGTTTCACCGTTAAATTATTGTATCGATTGAACTTGACAATGAAAGAGTACTTCATAGTGAGTATCATGCTTAAAAATATACCATCGTACATACAAAAGGAAAATGACACAAATAGTCCCTAAACTTTGGTCAAATGCTTCATGTGTCCCTATATTTTTAATTTGTTCAATATGACCCTTGAAGTTTCCCCCAATGTGTAATGTTGTCTCTGAAACTTTTAATCAGTTCAGTGTGTTTCCTGGTCATTTGGTACGTGTTCAATTTTCAATTTCGTACCTGAATTATATGTAAATGTTCAATATTTTCCTTGAACTTGAATTAATAGAAGGACCATGGACTAAATCGAACATGTACCAAAAGTCCAAGTACAATATTGAACAAATGAAAAATTCAAGGACCGCATTTCATATTGGGGTAAAGTTCAGGAATAACACTGAAAAAATTTAAATTTTAGGGACCACATCACACATTATGCCAAACTTGATGGATCATTTGAATTATTATATCTCTATGTAAAAACAGGATCGCGATGAGTCTCGTCCATATATTTTGAAGAGCCCTATTCGATACGCATTAACCATTTCATTAACAAGTATGCTCGAGGCGTTTGGGAAACAACAAAAATGAGAGAATTTGGAAATTTTCGAAAATTATGCTACTTTTTTGGAGAGTTTATATGTTCTTACCAAACATATCTAACTAACTGAGATTGTTTAATGGGCGGGCCGACACCAGTTCGGGTCGGGCTTTCAAAAAATGATTAGGATTGTTGAATCCCTTGATCAAGAAGACCGGACTGCCACTAACGAGCTCGCACGCCCATTCGATGCCTGCGAATCCCGTCTCCCTCTCTCTCTCTGCACGGAGAGGCAAAGCTCAAACTGCACTCCTCCAGTTGATCAAGCGACGGCAAGCGATGAGATGAAAGCAGTAATCTTTATCCCTCTCTTTCGATTTGGAAACGTCTTAGGGAATCTAGTTTCTGCCGTGCGTTCTTGTTGTTTGCTGATCTTGTGGTCTTCCAGATCAGTTTTGGGCCTTCCTGGTTTTGAATCTGTTTGGAGAGACGAGAAAATGGATGGCCTGGTTGTTGTTTATGCACGTGACTGTATGGATATACGCTCCCCTCATTGAAGCGGCCATGGTTGGCGGGTTTTAGGTTTCTGCTGCAGTCGCTTCGAGAATGTCTCGTGCACTGAATTGGTTAAGATACAAAACTGAAAACACCGAACGCGGCCCGTATCTTGCTGTTGTATTTCGTTGTGGCTTTATGGGATTTTGCTTTATCAGTTCTTGCTCTAGTCATGTGAACTGATTTTTGAGTTTCCAATTCTATGCACACCCGCAATTTGCCGGCTCGTCTTTACATTAATAGCTTCTTGGGGGGAGTTTCCTGATTTTCTCGTTTTCGAATCATAAGTTTTATCACCACACCAAGCCTTACGGCTTCTGTTGTGACGGAAATGTTGCATGATTCTACCACTCTTGCACCCCCACCAAAGGTGTATGTAGTTTACTTTGTTTTGGGGAAATCCATATTCCATATCTGTCTGCTAGCTGCCGCTGCTGCTGCCGCTGCAGCATCACATTTCCGCAATAGTTTCTCTCTTCTGCTGGTCCTTTAGGGAGGCATAAGTAGATTACTTTGATATAGACCATAAAATGTTTGAGCTCTCACCTTGATCTCATCTCTTGTAATGATCTTCTTGATTTTAGGGTTTCCTCCATGCCCATGGTTCTGATTCACTCTAAATCAGTGATATTTGAAAAAGTGTAGCGATGGAAGGCTGGACTGGCAAGGACTATAAGCAAAGTTCAGTGGATGTTACAAACACTGAGGAAACTAGTGGTGTGTCATTTCACTTCAAAACGATCACCTTCATGTGATGATTATCTATTTTAACACACTTTTTCCATACTTCCGTCTTTTAATATTTATCTACATCGGTTGCTATTCTCTTTAACTTATATATCTAGGTCTGTGGCTTGTCTAACTTCTTAACAAATCAGATGCGGTGAAAGAAAGGTCTAGAGATCAGAGACTGGCTTTCCCTGGAGACCCGAAATGTGTGATATGCGGCCGCTATGGTGAATACATATGTGATGAGACAGAAGATGATATTTGCAGCTTGGAATGCAAACGGACTCTACTTAGCAGGATCAGTAACTCTTCCAGAGGTGGTCATCCACCTTCAAAGAAATTACCGACAATTGACGAGTGCTATTATGTTAAAGATGGCAATGATAAAACAGGATCTCAGTCTTTACCTAGTGACCAATCTGAAGTGCTTAGGATGAGACTTGGCATCCATGTGAAGGGAAATTCAGTTCCTGCACCCATTTTGTCTTTCCCCTCTTGCCACCTTCCGCAGAAGCTTCTAGAAAATATCGAATCTTCTGGGTATGAAATGCCCACGCCTGTTCAGATGCAAGCAATTCCTGCGGCTTTGACCGGCAAAAGCCTGCTTGTTTCGGCTGATACAGGGTCAGGGAAAACAGCAGCCTTTTTGGTTCCTGTAATTACATACTGTGCAAATAATGGCCTGCAGAACTCTACCAATGGGAGAAAGCCCCGTGCTATTGTATTGGAACCAACTAGGGAGCTCTGTATACAAGTTGAGGAGCAAGCAAAGATGCTTGGCAAGGGTTTGCCTTTCAAAACTGCACTTGTGGTTGGAGGTGACCCTATGGCTGGACAACTTTATCGCATTCAGGAAGGAGTTGAATTGATAGTGGGGACTCCAGGAAGACTTATTGATCTATTGACCAAGCATGACATTGAACTAGACGACGTCATGGTTTTTGTTTTGGATGAGGTGGATTGCATGCTTCAGCGGGGCTTCCGTGATCAGGTGATGCAGATCTTTAGGGCATTATCACAACCCCAACTGTTGATGTATTCAGCAACTATCTCTCCGGAAGTTGAGAAGATGGCAGGAACCATGGTCAAAGATGTAACTGTTGTCTCCGTCGGCAAGCTCAATACTTCAAATAAAGCAGTGAAGCATATAGCTATCTGGGTGGAGACAAAGCAAAAGAAGCAGAAACTTTTCGATGTGCTGATGAGCAAGCAGCATTTTAAGCCACCAGCAGTGGTGTATGTGGGTTCTAGACTTGGTGCAGATATGCTAGCCAATGCAATAGCTGTTAAGACTGGAATGAAAGCCTTATCAATGCATGGGGAGAAGTCTATGAAGGAGAGGAGAGAAATCATGCAGTTATTTTTTATGGGAGAATGCCCTGTCATTGTTGCAACTGGAATTTTAGGTCGGGGAGTTGACTTGTTGGGTGTGAGACAGGTGATCGTTTTTGACATGCCAAATTCAATTAAGGAATATGTCCACCAGGTTGGGAGGGCATCTAAGTTAGGTGAGGAGGGTACAGCAGTTGTGTTTGTGAATGAGGAGAATAAGAATGTGCTCCCTGATTTGGTCGAACTTCTAAGAGCTTCCGGTGCCCCTATTCCTCGGGAGCTCCTTAATTCGCAATACATAAGGAGTTTTGCTTCTGCTGGCAAGGGGCAGAAAAAGAGGAAGCATCGCTACTAAGGTTTTGATCATTATTTTCTCACGCTGCTTTATTCCAAACTAGTTCTGCGGTCCTTTCTTTTAGTGGATTTGTTTTCTCTGCTATGGTAATAAATCATTTACAAGTCGAGGAAATCTGATAAACGAGGTAATAAGATACCGATTTATTTACCTTTTACATCCTCTGCTATCCGGGTTCCACTAAAGCAGTGCTTTATTTTTATGGTAGAACTTCCCAGTCGTCTGCTTGAGTGCCGTTTTTGTGCTGAGTTAGAGGGCCTTGTATGTTGGTCTACATTGGTAATTCGTGGGCGACATAAACAGAGAGCGAAGTGTATTCGTTGGAGAATTTATATGATGAAGACTCTCAAGGTTATGTATGCCACGGCTTTTTAACTTCCCACCACTAGGATGATGTAATTCTATCATCATGGAAAACCTTCTTTCAATTTCTAAGTCAAGTTTGAGGATGAAAGGTACCTGAGGCTGTTCTACTTCTATATACTGGTACTGTTACTTGCCAGAGATGAAGAGCTAGATTTGAGATTCTGGTGGAAATACCCCTTTACATTGATTTTAGTTTCTAAGACACACGATAGTAGTATCAGCTGTTCATAATTCAATCGAGAGACAGCGATCGCCTGTGTTTAGGATGAGTTGAACCTATGGGAAAGGTTATGTGCAATGAGTTTCCAAATTAGCAGACATGTTGGTGATGACAGAAACCAGTTTGTTATCATCCAGCCATCTTCAATTCCTGGTTGCGTTAGAATGTATGGTCTTTGTGCAGCTGAAGTGCCTCAAACAATAGTACTTACATTGGAACTGAATGTCTTTAGGTGAATGCTTTCCAGGAACAAAAAGTTCTTATAGCAACCTCTCGTCATGCAGACATGATGTCGCTTGTCACAAAAGATGGGCGAAATATAGTGGTATGTTTCTCTTTGTTTATTTTTCTGCTTGATCATTAGGAGAGGTTATCATCTGTAAACCATGTTTCCCATACAGGGGGATGTTAAGCGGTTTTGACCAAGCTACGAACATCAATTTCAATGAATCTCATGATCATGTGTGTCCTCTACCATGGTTTGTCTCCGTGTGCGTTGTAACAATTTGCAAGTTCCTTGTCTTCTCTCTGTGCAATGGCTTTCGAGGATCTTCTTAGTTTCTGTGAATGGTTGCTGTGATTTTCTTGGATTGCTTCAGTTGCCTGGGAAATGTTAAACATCTAAAGCTGGTACGATAGTTGCTACTGTGAGTGTTGCGTACTTCTTTGAGTTTCCTACCCGTGTATCCTTTTCCCTCTCTGGGCAGGATCAGTTTCTGAGTCATATGTTCTGATCTGCAGGAGCTGTGCAGCAACTGGTGCTGGGTGTCTACATAATCTGGGGAGACTAAATTGTGATGCCATATTTAGGGTGCCTCTTTACTTTAGAGAAAAACGATTGCCTCGACAATAGGTGCATGTTGAATCAGGATCATTGCAGCGTCATTAACGGGGAACTAACTGCTAGCCTTGATCTGTCTGCACCGCTAGGGACTAATTCCTTGGAAATAAGATATCCAGTGTCCACCGATAAACGGCGAGATCGTCTTTCTGGGGATAGCTGCAGATTATGCTAAATGTCATGTGAAGATGACAAATACTAATGCTTTACAGAGAATTCCTCCGTCCCAACGTCAATGGATGCGGATGACTAGAGCTTGAGCTCGACAATGTTCAAGTTTTGTGTTGGATGGAAGGAGGAGCTCGAAGTTGATCAGTCTTTCAAAACTATTAACAAAAGTAGCAGTGACTCTTTTTTTTTGGACGAAAGAAAATTGTATTAATTGTTCATAAGAATACACGAGAAGTACATAAACCTTTCATAGCAAGGCAAATCGAAGCATAATAATACCCATAATACTACAAAGTAAATCCAAATCTAGAAAACAAGGAAGGTCAATAGAGCACTAAGTACACACTCTTTCCATATAGGGATAATGACACAAACAGTCCTTGAACTTTGACTCAATGTTCAATTTGGTCCCTGAATTTTTAATATGTGTTCAATTTAGTCCCTGAACTATATAAAAATGTTTAATATAATCCCTGCACTTGAATTAATGGAAAGATTGCATTGAACATTTTTAAATAGTTCAGGGATTAAATTGAACACATATTAAAAGTTCAGGGACCACATTGAACAAATCAAAAGTTCAGGGACCAAATTGAACATTAGGTTAAAGTTTAGGGACTACATTGAACAAATTAAAAGTTTAGGGATCAAATTGCACATTGGGTCAAAGTTCAGGGACTGTTTGTGTCATTTTCCCTTCCATATAATGGACATGTCAAGTAAAATAATCAGTGACCGAATATTGGATTTCGTATCATTGTCAGCCTACACTAGAAATGGCAGTGTAGCCTAGGTTTGGCTTCCTTTTACACTATTGCTGTACGGGGACAATCAAAATAGGTTGAACAAACATAGATATAACGTTTGGAAGTACAAATTATTATAGTTCAGTAAGAGGCCAGAGCTCTTATGATAACCATTGAAACTAGAGATAGAGGACTTGTGCGACTTCCAAACTATTATAGTTCAGTAAGAGGCCAGAGCTCCTATGATAACCATTGAAACTAGAGATAGAGAACTTGTGCACGTACAGAGTATAGGGGTATTGAATCTCCAAAAATATTATCAAACTCCCAAATCTAAATCATGAGAGGATAGTTCCTAGATCTCAGATTTAGAACTAGATCGGGAGAAAAGAGCTCTTAAATCTATATCAAAAGAGATTAACAAAAAATAAGAGAAGAACAAAAAAATTCAAACAAAATCAACAAGAGCGAGAGGGGAGGGTAAGACAGCTCAAACATACTTCTCCCATGGCTGAAATTTGAAGAAGACCATGAGGAAAATTCTGCTTCAAATTCCTAATTTTTGAGATCAAATTCAAGGGCAAAAACAAATAAAAACTCGATGTCGTCAAAATAATATCTTATCTAGCGGAGGAATAAGTAATAATAATGGCGCGAATGGTAACCATTCTGCTCCTGAAATTAAATTCTTGCCAGAAATTGATTTCTGGAATTCTTGCCAGAATTAATTTTTGGAGGAGAAATCTGTTTGGTAAAACAGAACTAAGGCTGCGCATGACAACTTGCCAAACAGTGTTTGATTCTGTTCTTTTGTTCCCAGAATCAGTTTAGGAACAGAAATGCGTTTGTTTAATTTTTTGATTCTGGGCACAATTTTGTCAAAAATTGTTCCCAGAATCAGCTTTCAATAATAAAAAAAAAAGTAACTTCTTGATTCTAGGAACAATTTTGAGAATCAATTTTTTTTCTTCTTCCTTTTCTTGGTTTTTAATGTAGCTTTTAATGTCCGGTCCGAGGACCGCCCTCGCCGGATCTGACAAGAATAAAATATTTTAATAAAAAATATTATTAATAAAAAATATTTTACCGGCCATGGCCAAAAAAAAGAAAAAATATATATTTTTAATAAAAATATTTTAATAAAAAATATTATTAATAAAAAAAATATTTTACCGGCCATGGCCCAAAAAAAGAAAAAAATATATTTTTAATAAAAATATCTTAATAAAAAAATTTACCAACCATAGCCGGCGACCAGGTCATGGCCAAAAAAATAAAAAAAATATATTTTTAATAATAATATTTTAATAAAAAAAAATATTTTACCGGCCATGGCCGGCGACCAGGCCATGGCCCAAAAAAATAAAAATATTTTAATAAAAAATATTATTAATAAAAAAAATATTTTACCGGCCATGGCCGGCAACCAGGCCAGGGCCAAAAAAAATAAAAATATATATTTTTAATAAAAAATATTTTACCTGTCATGGCCGGCGACCAGGCCATGGCCAAAAAAAAGAAAAAGTACTTTTAATAAAAATATTATTAATAAAAAAATATTTTACCGGTCATGGTCGGCGAGCAGGCCATGGCCAAGAAGGAGGAAAAGAAAAAAAAGAAAAAAAATATTAAAATATTTAAAAATATTATTAATAAAAAGAAATTTTGTGGCGTTACCAAACGCATTTCTGTTCTTTTTCTATTCCAGGGATGGAATTTTGGGCCGTTAACAAACGCCTCAAAATGCTCAGAATCAATTCCGGGCACAGAATCAAAAAGAATCATTTCTGAGCAGAATCTGTTCCCGGGCACAGAATCGTTATCATGCGCAGCCTAATTCTGCTTCAGAAATTGATTTTTGGAAAAGAAATCTGTTTGATAAAATAAGAGGAAATTTCTACTTCTGGATGAGAAATACATTTGATAACGGCGCGTCAGTTCTATTTCCGCAACAAAGATAGTTCGAACTCAATTGAAAAATATTATTTATCTTAACCTATAATGCATGATATTGAGGTAAAATCTAGTACATTTTTTTAAATCCTCAAATAAAAAGAACATAAATTCCAAAATAACATGTCATTACAAGAAGACCTGGTACCAAATCCTCAATTACACATAATACGAATCCTACAATACAACATTACATTATAAAAGGCAAAAAAAGCAAATAATCAACAAAAAAACGATTCTTTAAAGCCGCAAAGGATCTCTCAATGATATTCCTTAATGAAGAATGCCTGTGGTTGAACAATTCCTTTGCTGTTGTTGGTCCCCCACTTCGTCGAAGAATGCATGTAGGTAGACTTAGAGAAGGCACCAAAAGCATAGCTCCTGAAGCAGTTCAGCACACTAATATTCTTTAATTAGAACACATTCATACACATCTGATCAAGACATGTACCAACTTACCCTCATAAAAATATTGTAAAGGAACTTCTTATGAAACAATATCCAACACTGCACCCACCAACCTCTCACACGTGAACTTTAAAAGTTCGTACAATGACATCACCAACAAAAAAGGGTCACATATCCCTTATTTCTCTTATCATTAAGGGCGCGCATGGAATCCATTCCGGAGTAGAAATTCTACTCCAGAATGCATTCCGGAACAGAAATGCGTTTGTTAAAAAATTTCCGGAATGCATTATGGAGCAATTTTTGCATTCTGGAATAAAAATGCGTTTGTTAAAAATACTTGATTCCAGAATGCATTCTTGATTCCAGAATGCATTTTTTATTCAAGAATAAGTTTTGGGCAAGAAAAAGAGAAGCTACTTTTTGTAGCTTCTTTCTTCTAGAATGCATTCTCCCTATTTTCTCTCTTTTTCTCACTAATTTTTTTTTCAAAAAATGCATAAAAATTGAAAAATTCCAGAAAAATTCATAAAAATTTCCAGAAAATAAAAAAAAGTCAGATTTAGGGAAAATAGGAAATTTGGTGAATTTTTTTTCAAAAAATATAAAAAAATAAAAAATTTCAAAACTTCACAGAATGGCTTAGAATACCTTTGGGCACCCACTTTGAGTGAAATTTAATTTTTTTGAGGTGTCCAAAAAAATAAAAAAATCAAAAATTTCAAAACTTCACAAAATGGCTTAGAATACCTTTGGGCACCCACTTTAAGTGAAATTTTTTTTTTTAGGTGCCCAAAAAAATAAAAAAAGATTTCTGTTCCAGAAATCAATTTATAGAGTAGAATTAGTCATGTTTTATCAAACAGATTTCTCCTCCAAAAATCAATTTCTGGCAAGAATTTGATTTCTGGAGCAGAATGGTTACCATTCGCGCCCTAAGTGACTGATCCACTTCAGTAGACATTTCAAAGATAATCCTAATAAAGATATCATATGATTAAGTAACATGTCCTAATGCTCATTATTATGCATTCAAATTGCGTTCACATTAGAAATGATGACAAGCATCCTGCCAATTAGCCACCGAAGCTATATACCTTGCCAACTACAGTTTCAGATACAACAGTTTATTCAAGTAGTCTTCTACAATCCATTTAATAGTGCCAATTAAACAGGGCTGGACCTTTCTCGTTCCTACAAATTATATTTTCACTAATTGCCACTACACAGGAAAGTCAAAACCACATGGCACACATGCCTTTCATAATTTCTCATCTAAAACAATTTATCAACACAGTTTATGCATATGCTAAAGCTTCAAAATACCAGATTATGTTGGAACTCAACGATAAAATTATTCTTGCATGATTCTCTATATGCCTTCGGATCACATATTATGCATTGTTACTATTCTCCAAGATCGTTATAACTTCGGTCGAAGCAGCAAACATTGTAGTTGGCAAAAATGACATCAACAGCTAAAAACACAATTCAGGATAGGTTGAATACGAACTCCAATACCACCAACTTGGATTGGCTATTGCACCCTACATAGTTGAGTATCATCCTAGTCCATATTCTTTGCATGTTCAAGGCCCTTTTCTGAAATTTCTGGTGCCTACTCAGAGTTGCCTAATCCCTTTGACATAGAATATGTCCAGGAAATTGCAACCCCACACAGGAGAATAGTATGAGTCGAGGATAGCCTTCGAAAGAGATAAATTGAATGAAATGTCATGGTTTCCCCTCACTATCTCAGGCCAATATCTTTCACTTGTAGGCCGTCCTCCCAATCCATAAAATTTAACCTTCCCGGGGTAAACCCATCATCTAGTGCCTGTGCTAAAACCAAAGCCAGTGCTTGAGATGCCGCCCAGAAATGATAATCCAGATAAAAACGAGACAAAAGCGCCAACTACTTGCGGCAATTCGCCGCGAACCGCAGAGCTAGACATGAATGACGAAACAAACCGATTTAGCCACACAACCCACACATCATAGCCCTTTCGAAACCGAAATCCCACGGCTCGATTTCAACCTCAACCTCAATCCGCAACATGCTAATCAAGTTCTCGCCATACCACTCCGCGGCGTCTCGTTCCCTCGTTCTGACTCGATCGAGCGAGATTCGCGCGGGCCGCGTGCCCTAAACGGGCAGCCACGTCGCACACCGCGGATTGCACCGAAGGAAAAAGCTAACGAGAGGAGGTGAAACAGTTGGAGGAATCGAAGACTCACCAGCTACGCATGAAAAAACGGAACCAGCGGAGATAGGGAGAGCCAAATCGATTGCCGCCGTGTGAGGTGGCGGTTCCGGTGAAGTCGCGAGGAGGGATGGAGGGCACGAAACTGAAGAGGCGGGTTCTGGTGCAGTCGCGAGGAGGGAAGGGGAGGACACGAAACTGAAGAGTTGAACGAGATGGAAGAGAAAGAACGAAATTAGGGCTAGAATGAATTCCCAAAGAGAGAACGAGATGGAAGAGAAAGAAAAATGGCCAGAATGAGTTCTGGAAAGAGAGAAGCTACAAAAAGTAGGGTGTACAAAAGAACCGGGACCCGCCCGGACCGTCCGGAACCGCCCGGAACTGGACCGGAACCGGTGGTTCCCAAGGGAACCGGTCCGATTCCCGGTTCCAATTTTTTGGAACCAGTATTGTTTGGGCCGGTTCCCGGTGTGGAACCGCCCACCCGCCCACCCGGACCGGACCGGTAATATAATAATAATATTTTTTATTTAATTTAATTTTTAATTAAAAAAATCTGACCAAAAAAAAAATTAAAAAAGAAGAAGAAAATTTGTTATCATGTCTGAAGCTCTTGTGTAGTTGGGATACCTTTGTCATTTTTCCCAATAATTAATGGGTACCCACTTGATTTATGGATGATGTGATTAATATAATCGATCATAGTGTAGGAATTGTATGAAAAATTATGTTCTTTTTCTTTTGTTCTGTTGATCCGATGTTGGTTCACAGATTTTTTTTTTATTTGTCTAGAAAAACTTGTTGAGACCGGTTCCATGGACCCGCCCAAGAACCGGACCGAACCGGCGGTCCGGTTCTCGGGCGGGTCCATGGAACCGACGGGCGGTTCTCGGTTCCAATTTTTGGAACCGGTCCTGTAGCGGGCGGTCCACGGTTCCGGGGTGGGAACCGCCCACCCGGACCATGCACACCCCTAACAAAAAGTAGCTTCTCTTTTTTGGTGGAAAACTCATTCTGGAAGCAAAATTTGATTCTGAAATAAAAAAAAAGAATGTGTTTTTACCAAGCGCATTTTTTATCCAGAATGCAAAAATTGCTCCATAATGCATTTTGGAAATTTTTTAACAAACACATTTCTGTTCCGGAATGCATTCTAGAACAGAAATTTTGCTCCAGAATGGATTTTATGCGCGCCCTAAGTATCCGTGCTGAACGAGAGACTCGACAACATCCTTACCAAATCCGGACGAAGACGATAATCTAGCATAACCGCAGCTTTATTACATCAATGTCCAAATCCACGCTCGCACATTTTTTTGGTTTTTAATAAGGAAAACCGGAAAAGACAAACCGGCGACGGGACAACAACGCCGAAGGCGGCTCGCGCTATACCTCGTCCGCCGGTCCACATTGACTCGCCAGCTCGTTAAAACCCTCGCTCTCGTTTTCAAAAACCCTCCCTTTCTCTCTCTCTCTCTCTCTCTCTCTCTCGGTGACATCGGTGTTGTCGCGCGCGCAGAAGAGGTGGCCGTGTACGCGATGAGCAGAAGCTGAGACCGAGATGAGGATGTTGCGGATCGTAGCAAGAGGACGGCGACCGACCCTTCTTCTCAATTGCTCCGCTGCTGCTAAAGCTGGTACCTTTTCTTGTGTCCCCCCACCCCTTTCTCTCCCTTCCCCATTTGGTATATCATCTTTCGTCTTCCGCCGTTTTCAGTTTTTTTTTATTATTTTCTCCATATCTGCGTCTCTCGACTTGAATGGCCGGCGCTTTGAAGGAATCACCGCCGGGTCTGTTGTGGGTCGCGGAACCCGAAGATGTTCTAATTTGGATGGAGGGCTCGTCTGCTTTTGGTCGCTTGAATGTGCAAAATGCAGTTGGTTCCTTGGTTTTGTTCTCGAATAGGTGCGTCTAGGCTCAAAGAAAAACCGGAGAGGGTCGAAAGTCGCGATATGAGATGAGATGAGAAAAGGCTTGCTGGAAAAGGATTGTGTTTTGCTGGGATGGATGTGTTTGAAGTCACTGCTAGTAGTGCTTGAAGTTCTGTATGATTAGACCGGCAAATTACTTAAAGGGTTGAAGCGGATTGAAGAGCTTTTCTTGATGTTGGTGCCTTTTTGTGGAGAACCCAGAACGTCTATTTTCCTTTAGGGGGGCGGGTGACATATGTAGAGGTGATGTATCAGGAGATTGACGGTGCATTTTCTTTTTCGTTCAATGAATTGCTTTTGCGCAAGGACATATTATGAACACTTAGGGTATTGCGGATGTCGTGTAAAGGGTACGTGTACATCCCCATTGCAGTTGATGTTAACAGACTGACATTGTGACTGGGCAGTTACCGGGGATGATATCTGGCTTGGGCAATTTTTAAGTAGCTATATCAGCCTTATTGGGAGAAAAAAACGTGGATTATTCTGGTAGAAGGAGGGGGTTCTTTTAATGTTGTTGTCAACTAGATGAAATCACATCAAGAGATCGACTCTGGGGGGTTATTATGTGGTTAGTCAGTATCCAAAATAGAAAAAAAAAATTCAATTGCCTATCCCTTGCACACACCGACTTAATGTTGCGTTCAGGCTAGGTCTAGATATGAGCGTTAATGAGAAATCAGCATCCAGTTATGACTCGTGAATCTACTTTCATCTCTTGACATCTTTAAGAATTGAAAACTTCTAATATTCAGTTTTTAAATTTCCATTCTGCATGGAAACTGGTTGCCCGTTCCTTTTCCGATCATAATTCGTCTAATTCTAGTTCGATATCTGACAGTATTGACCAACAGAACCGATGCTCATGGATCAAAAGTTCAGTGGTGCGCTATATCGAATGCCGCATCTGTTTCTTCTGAGCTACCAATTTCTCGTAAAAGTCGCAAGCGGATTCCAAAAGATGAACGTCAAGCTATGGTGGAACGTTATGTTAATGAGTATGTATAATAATGCTCTATCCTTTTTACACCATTTTAAGAGCAGGTGGTATATCTGTACCACTTTCTATTATGCTATGCTCTTCATATATGGTAATTGTGTGAATACCTATCAAATTTCCTCTCTGGAGCTGTTGCTTCTTATACAAAGTTAACTGAGATATTTTTCTCTTTAGAAGACCGTGCTTACTAATTCTAGGTGGCTGTTTGTTACGTGAGGCTCTCGAAAGTGAAGTAGACTGCTTTTTCACTTTGAAGTTTTTCTTTGCTCCATCCCTTGAGAACTTCTTTTCATTGCCTCGGTGTTAGCACTAGTTACATGCTTTTGCAGATTTTCATGGATTCAAGAGGAGATTGGCCATTTTAGGATTCACATACAGATCATTTGTAGTGATATGCCGATATGCTGAAATGAGTTTTTAGTTTCGAGACCATTTCCTAGAAAATCATAAGAGTAGAAATGGTTGTTGCTTTTCTGTCGGTAAACGGTAGGAGGTCAGGTAATAGATTGATAGTTGTCCATTGGATTTGAAAAGGAGCTGTCCTTTCTACGTATGGCATTGCTCCTCTTCCCTGGTCTAGTAGAAAAGTTGTCTTGTCAAAATCACGTTTCTTTAATGTTGCTTCTGACTATCATTCTCTTAACGTCAAAGAATAGTCAATGCTTTCACGTAAATTCATTCCCATTTTAGATCAGTCAAGAGCTGGGGAGCAATACGATGCAGGTATCCTTCCCTGGAATGTTATTGTTTTGACTAGCGGTGACCATTTATATTGAAAATAGCAAGAGAGAGTGGCTCGCATTGGTTTTGTTATCATGGTTTTGCAAATTGTTATTCTCCGTTTGAGCAAGTAAGAAATTTTACAGGAATCGCCTTTGCAGGTACAGAGTAAAGAATGCGGGGAAGTTTCCAACTGCTTCTGATGCTATGAATCATGTTGGTGGTTCTTATTATGTCATTAGAAAGATTATTCAGGAGCTAGAGCACAAATCCAAGTTACCTCAATCGACTAGCGGAACTGAAATATCATCAGGACCCAAGCTAAATCTTGTGAAGAAATCCGGGACTAAAGTTGACACCTATAGCAGCAAAGTGTCTGTGAATGCTGTGACTGAAGTTGAAGATGATAGGTTGATGATTGTTGTTGCTGAGAGTCAGGGTTCAAGAGAAGAAATTACAGATGTTTCTCATTTGAGTCGTGACAAATTACAGGATATTAAGAGGAAGGAAGTATGGGATGATGATAGCGATAGTGTAGCTGAGAAGAGTAGTGTCGAGATGGAAGTACAGAATGTCTCTTTGGATGTTCATCCACATGAAGATAATGCTAGGGATTCCCTCAGAGAAAATTTGACAGATTCTGGTGCTTCAGAGCTGCGAAAGGAGCCTTCACACGATGTTGAGACAGAAGAATCTGTTAAGTAAGTCTCACTGTCTATTATCATATCATCAATAGGGCAGTTCAGGCTCATCCCTGTGTTCTTGCATTGCATCCTCTTTTAATTAGGCTCAACCAGTCTTTACATGCAATATATTGAATGCCCTACAATACCTCAAATAAAATTCTGGAAATATTGACTCTCATATTAGAATTGGCAAATGATAAAAGGTAAAAATATTAGAGTTATAAATGACAAAGCCTCCTGATAGAAAATGATGAATCCTTATTATGATTTCTTCTGCATTAGAGTTTGTTCTGCATGCACCAAACCTGCTATCTGAACATTATTGACTGTCTTTTCTATTGAGAAGTATATTTTTGTAGAAGACCCGAGGACATCTGTGCTTTTCTCAGATTCAATCTGTGTGTATGCGTGCGTGCATGTGCATTCGTATGTGTGAGTGCTCTCTAGTGCATACTCAAGCAGGCATGAATGCATGCGCTAATATGGTCATGTATGTATGCGTGTTTGGATGAGCACACCCATGCAGAGGAAGGCATGAAAGCATCTGCACACACTTGCATTTACATGATAAGCATCAAATATTGAGTTATCCAATTGTGACTGCCTCTGTAGGTAGGAGTTTAGACTTAAAACATATTTCTTTGCACGTCATGAATTATTACCGTCTTATTATTGGCTGCATGCTAACTAGAAACTGTCATTCAGGAGGAACGATGACGTGGACGTATCCAGAGAATCATCTCTGTGGGCAAATCTTAAATCTTTTGCAGTAAGTATCTGGAAGAAACTGTAAATTCTCGAGGTAATCGTTTGGACTTTACAGGAACCTGTTTTTGCCAAATGAGGTTAATAGATGGATGTCCTCCTTTAGTCTTCCCGGTATTTCTTGTATGTTTATGGAGAGAGAGAGAGAGAGAGAGAGAGAGAGAGTATGTAAATACATTTCAGCGGCATCCTCTGTGGAGCCACGGGGTCTGGCGCTGACCTTCCTAAAACTAATGAGTGACGAGTCGCTCACAAGTTAAATATGAACTGCTCATCATCATTTCAAGAGCACACAGTCAGAAGACTCGGAGCCCCAAAGATGGTCGACCGGCCTTACAAAGCCCGGCAGCCAAGTCTCTTACGATGCCAAGAAACAGGGGCACGACGAGAGTGAAATTCTTAAGAGTTGAGTGTGGAAGCATCGCTTTGTGCGAGGACTCGGGGAGAATTTCTCTTTCTTATCTAATACAGAGGTTCTGGTGGGGGTAAGATGCCGCTTTGAGCTGCGAGGTTTGTCTCGTGAGCAAAGGGTCTCTTGGAAGATGTTGTAATGTTCCTGAAGGTTGTGCTGAGCACTTAGAATTGTCAATATGCAAAGAACAAACACAACAATTTATGTAGCTCTATGCCCAGGCAGGATAACGGTCGTCCCTGGTTTCCTCAGCTTTGTACCATCTTTCTGGACTCTTTAACTAGCTTTATAGCCCGCCCGATGCGGAGACTGAATGATAATAATTTAAACTAGGACATATGTAGAATTTACCTATGGAACTTCATGTTCTCAAAGTCCGCTTATGCTACGTTTAATGGAAAGTTTTAAGATGAAACATTAGGTTTGATATTTTAAGAAAATAAAGGCAGGGTAGAATAATTTTCGCGTAACTTTGTTTTTCTAACATTCCGTATTTTCAAATTTGACAACTTCATCTTTCAAATTTTGTCTAACATCGGATACGTTGTACTCTTATTTCTCCAAGATCTTAATTTGTTTCTAAGTTCCGATTACCCGTTTGTCACTTTAATTTGAAAATTGACGGACCCGATCGAATGAAAGGATTTGAAGCAAGGAAAAATAAATTTCGAAGGCCAAAAAAAAACTATATTGTCTGAAAAATTTATTCGTCCGGGAGCTTATTTGCAACAATACTTTTTCTCGAGGGCCCAAAAAAAATCACTTTTCGTTAGTTATTAAGTGAAATTGGGGGACTTGTCCGCTTCGAGAAGTATTAAAAACAAAACTACCTTATCATTGAAATCTCAAAATGGGGGAGATGCTGTCGTGTAAACCGCCGAAGCAAAGCAGCCATTCTATTTCAAGCTTCTCTTATCAATGACAACAATTCCAAAACCAACTGAACAGACTCTGGAAGCCTTCCTAACCAATTTCCTTAAGCTTGTTTCCCATTATTTATAAGCCCTTCCCTTTTACGTTTTGTTTTCACTAGACGCTTAACATGGGTTCTCCTCTCGCCATGACCACCGTCACTTGGCACTTTGCCTTGGCATTCTTCCTCATTGCCGTCCTCTTCTCTCCGACCCCGGGTCTCGCCCATGGATCGAACGTGATCGACCAGTGCTGGAGGGGAAACCCCAACTGGCGGAGGCAGCGGCAGCAGCTGGCCACCTGCTCGGTCGGTTTCAGCGGGAAGATGACCGGCAACATCGGCAAGGGGACCTTGCGGTACACCATCACCGACCCGAGCGACGACCCGTTGAGGCCGAGACCGGGGACTCTGAGATATGGGGCCACTTTGATAAATGGCAAAGTGTGGATCACGTTCAAGAGGGACATGACCATCAGGCTCCAGAAACCTCTCCTAGTGAGCAGCTTCACGGCCATCGATGGCCGCGGCACGAATGTTCACATCACCGGAGGTGGATGTTTGTTGGTCTATAAGGTATGTCCAAGCCTTCCTGCATTATTCTAGTTTCCTTTTCTGTTTGAATTTGAAAAGGTTGCATAAATACTTTGGAAAGTAACTTCCCTAATGTGATTATGAGAGATTTACTTGCTTGTGATCAGGCCACGAATGTGATTATCCACGGCCTATACATCCACCACTGCCAAGCGCAGCCACCGAGCCAGGTGATCGGGCCGGACTCCAAAATCCTGCCTCTCGGCCAAGTAGACGGCGACGCCATCCGGCTCGTGACGGCATCGAAGGTGTGGATCGACCACAACACGCTCTATGCATGCCAGGACGGGCTCCTCGACGTCACGCGAGGGTCCACCCAAATCACCATCTCCAACAACTGGTTCAGAGACCAGGACAAGGTCATGCTCCTCGGCCATGACGATGGCTATGTTCGCGACCGCAACATGAAGGCCACCATCGTGTACAACCACTTTGGCCCTAATTGCAACCAGCGAATGCCGAGGTAGTAGCTAAGTTCTCGGTTATTCATGCCGACGAGTAGTTGGTGATGTCATTGACCGGAGATCATCTCCTTCTTCCTATTCGCTCATTGACGGATTCATTCTTTATGTGAACTAGGGTTCGACACGGATACGCACATGTGGCGAACAACTTGTACCAGGGATGGGAACAGTATGCAATCGGAGGAAGCTCAGGCCCAAGCATCAAGAGTGAAGCAAACCTGTTCATCGCGCCAGAAGGAGGCAACAAGGAGGTATATGAACATGGATCTATCGCATTCAGATCAAGCGCTTTTGAAGTTCCATTTTTTTCGGTCACAATCATATCGGTGAAATTGGTGATTTCCATGATGTTGATGCACAGGTTACATGGAGATTAGGAAGCCACGCGAGCAAAAGGGCTTGGAGCTTCTACTCAGTGAGGGATGTGTTTGAAAACGGAGCTTCTTTCACGAAACAGGGAAGACTCGGCGGCGCGAAACCTTGCTACAATAAGCAACAGAGCTTTACAGTCGGTGACGCGCAATCTGTGAGATCGCTGACAAGCTCGTCGGGCGTTCTCAAGTGCTCTAGAAGATCGACATGCTGAGCGATACCCAGAAGCTCGATCTAACATGGCGAAGAACACGGATCGATCTGTGCTCAAGGCTAAATAGAACTGGAAGTGTCTGCATATTTCAGACTCTCGTCTATGTACATGACAGTTTGGAGAATGATAATAAGCATAGCATTAGTCCAATATTGGTGTTCTGAACTGTAATGTCATGTATTTGATTCTTGAACGTGTTCTTGCTCCATTTAGTTTTTGATTTGATTTTTCATCGCATTAACAATTAGCCCATGTTTAATCAAATTATTGGATATAATACAAATAATTCTCGTCTTAAAATAAAATAATTGTCAAATCATTAGTGCAGCTTGGATATTGATAGGGCAATAAACCTAAATTGATGCAACATTAAAAAATTTCATTTTTCCACTTCGAAATCATTGTAGTGTAGCAATACGCGCATATCTCGTCGGATACAAATTTCGCGTGATTTTTTAATTGAACAAGTTTCGAATCCGATCGTCCCTTTCTTCCTTCTTAGCCTCGAAAGCGCAAGAGAAATTGCAAACGATACACAGAGTGAAATTTTGATTTCTGTAAATGTGGAAAAAAAAAACATAAAGTTGAGAAGTATTTACAACAGTAACAGTTTTGCAGTCACTTGGGTGATCGAATCAATCAGAGTTGACTTTGCCTGTTCAAGCGCACTTGGAATCCGTTGACTAGCCTCGCCGATGGGAAGAAGGACATCCTGTCTTCCTTCAATTGGGTCCACCTGCTCATATTAAATTGAGTTTATCAGAATTAACTAAATTTATAAACAAAGATGCTCATTCTCTTGATATTATTAGAAAAGAGATGGAAAAATTAACCTGTAATTAGTCACAAAATAATGGAGAAAGAGAGCAATCTGAAGTCGAGCTAGCTCTGCGCCAGGACAAAATCGAGCACCTCCACCAAACGGTGCATAGAATGGACTATTTCTCCAATTTCTCTTTTCCTATTTCATGTCACAACAATAGTATATGTATAAAGAGTTAAATTATCGAATGCTTCGAAAACACTTATTAAGTATACTTAATGAAAATATTACAATTTTCAAGAACACCGATCATACATTATGTAATTGTAAAAGTCACATTGTCGTATATGGACCGACCTGATTTTCGGGGTTTAACCATCTCCAGGGATTGAAGCTGAGAGCTCCGGGGTACAAGTCCTCGTCCAGATGAACGGCCGAAAGGAATGGGACGACGAAGCATCCTTTGGGGATGACATAGTCTGCATTGGCGGTATTATTGTAAATCCCGCGTGTTTAATTCTTATCCAATTAAGAATACCAAAAGAAGAAAATGTTAAGGGAGAGAAAAACTAAATAAATTCAAAGACCTTGATATGCAACGTCCTCCTTGGCTTCCCTCATCAACCAGATTGCAATCCCCCCAAGTCGCAGTGTCTCGTCTATCACCTGCACCAAAAAGATTAGGGTTTCTGAGTATTTGGCGTCAGGACAAACTTTTAAACTCGGGAAACATCATTAATATCATAGATTAGGTAAGACGCGAGCAACTTCTAAACAGACGTTGAGGGTCAATATACCTAACGTGGACGTTAACTAATCTCAAGACTAGGAAGTAAATTCTTGATGAGATGGCCGGAAAATGGGAGTTTTTGCATTAATGATTTGATAAATCGGAAAACCGGGTTTTTTCTTTTTGGGAAAATTGTAAATATATTTCCCTTCTCATTTCCTAGGGAAAAAGCAATAAGAATGACTTACACATTGTGTGAAGGGCATTGCTTTGTAGTCCTGCCATGTGAGCATCTCAGCTTCATCTGCATTGTGCCTCTTTAAACCCTCTTGCTCTTCCTGTTCAAACAGTAGATTCACCCTTTCAAGAAAAGGTCTTTCTTTCACTAAATTAGAAGAGAACATAGTTTCTTTTTTCTTTTTGGCTAATTGTTCTTTTGGCATGTTTGTTGTTTACCTGGAGTTCCTTCAAAGCTCTAGGGCACTGAGTGAGGAAGTAGACGGCGAAAAGCATGGTTTTCGAAGTGGTCTCGTTCCCGGCAAAGATCAGATTGATGACAAAGTCGGCGACGGCTTCGTCGGGAAGGCTCTCTTCGTCGAGCAGTCTTCCGAGCACGCCATTGCCCACGTCTGCTGAGTCTTGAAGTTTCCTGATCTTCGCGATTGTCTCGTTTATCTTGCTCACTATGTTGCTCCTAGCCTACCAAAAGTCATATGTACATAATCTCATCACTTTAGTCCTAAATTTTGGTGTACAAAAATAAGAAATTTATTCTTACTTTTTATTGAAAAATTAGACCGATTATAAAGTTTGTCTACGCCTACCAAATCCAACCAATAAACTTTATCAATAGGCCTATTGACCCACCAATCGGCTCGGGTCAAGTGGGCCCAACACTATTTTAGGCTGGCCTAGACAACACGTAAGGCCTAATATCGGCTTGGACTCGATCGATGATCATCTTAGCAACCCAACTTTAAAGTATAAATTGAGCGAGCCTGAATAAGCAATTTCCTTCTTAATAAGTCCACTCATACATAATCTTTTGTTATGCAGAACATTTGCATCTCATAAATAATGCGCGGGTTTGGGTAAGTCTTTACTGTTTAGGCCTAGCGTACGGTTCGTCCATTGATCAGGTCATTTTTACTGATGTAAATACTTTTTGACAACATAATCATGCAAGTACATGAATATACCTTCATGGCAGTGTGGTAGGCAAAGCCGGGCAAGTTGATGGGAAGAGAGAGACAACCATCGACGAAGTCGGAGAAGAGCCGAGCCATGTCGTCGATGTCCGACTCGCTGGTCATCCCCAGCAGTTGATTCACCATCAGGTTTATTGCCACCTGATTCATCATCAACCCAGAAAATTGAATAACCAAAGCAGTCACTCTAACATAAAATCGCTCATGTCACTGTGTATTCATGTCCTAGAGTTATTAAAGTCCGTATTAAAGCTGTTAAACTTGCCTTTCTGCAAACATCTTGGAGGACGATGACTTGATTGTCCGGAAACTCACAGATGCTCCGGAGCATGACAAGCTGAATGTCCTCCAGGAAGTGGCATTTGAGCTTCTCCAGGCGCATCATGCTGGAAGCGATGCCGTGGAGCTGCCTCTGCTGCTCTCCTTGGGCCGTGATCACTCCGTTCTTTCCCACCAGGTCCCGGAACGACTTCGGGTAGCTCGATTGGAACAGCTTCCCCTCATGCTGCATCACGAACCGGTTGAATGCCGGGTCCGCCGACACCACCGCCCGCTTCCCCAGCAGGCTGCACGAGAATATCTTCCCGTACCTGCTCAAAAGAGAATCGACCCATTCGTAGCGAAAATTCATTATTCTTGTGTGCATCTTCTCTTTCAGAAGATTGACCATAACATATTTGAATACTCAAAGTCAGCCAAAGTTATGGTATATCAAGGGAAATCGCATTAAACATAGTTCATAGCATAACATAAATTAACAAGAATAGCTTTTAGTGTCTTTTTAATCTTATCTATTGTAAAACTAAAACAGTTTCCATGATAAAGGCCTATGTACTTATTCAGCATCATAATATAACATTGTAAAAAGGAGTTCGACGTGGAAAGATTTTGCTTGTCTGAAGAAAAACTAAGATTGATGACAAAGAATACTTAAAGTGAAATCAACCTACATCATTTGTCCTTTGGGCTAAGAAAATGTACGCATGCATACCTTTTGACTTGTTGCTCGACGAATTGAGGCGGGTGCGAACTCGCCACTGCGCCGAACCAGGCGAAGGTGTCTCCGACGAGTAGCCACCCCGTACTCCCTGGTGGCATCTTGCACCCGCCACGGCCACCTCCTCTTCCGCTTCTTCTCCTCTTCGTCTCCGAAATCAACTTCACGAGAAACCCGATAAATACTAGCGTCGTCGCGAGGATGATCGCGTAGCTCAATGGCCAATGATCTCTTGAACCAGTCGTCTTTTCTCTCATGGTGGCGAGTAGATCAACTCGGGAGAGGGATCGGAGCAAATCTGCCGGAGCGACGTTCGTCGTCATTAATTGTTGTTGTGCAATGGCTTAATCACTTAGTGGAGCAACACATATGGTATATTATATACGTACTTGAGAAATTTATATTAAGCACAGAAAGCGAGGGAATATAAACAAGATGTTGTTTATAAGGTTGGCAAAAGCATGCTCGTTGACCTAACTCCGAAGACCTAAGATGGCCACGTATGTATTTGTACTTGAGCAAATTTAATAATTGTTTTGTGTTCCTAGAAAATTGGTTAGATGATCAGGAGAATATATGTGATAAGTCTTAATGGTCGCCATTGTTCGCCAGAATAATTTAAAAAAAAAAATTGGGTAAAAGGATGGCGAGATCTTGCTGATAAAGAAGTTTATTTTAAGGGAAATGATGAAATTAGCTAGGATACTCAAATTTTAATTACCATGCATTCCTGTCTAAATGGTGAGAAAAACAATAGAGAATTGACATTAATTATAAATAACAATCGAAGCTGCGAAAGATTATCTAAATTCGTTCTTTTCGTATGTATGAGTTGTTATCCCTGTAAGAAGAGCGCTAGGTTTGTAAATACTACATTTTAGTTCACCAATATATAAGCTTGGCTTATATGTCAATTTTGACCAATATATAAGCTTGGCATAAATGCAAGCCGGATTAGGAACGGCATGCGGAATTTGACTAATTGGGAGCTGCACATGTGAATGGGGTAAAATATGGTTCCGATACGATATTGGAAAGCCTAACAAAAAGACTTAAGCATATAGGTGGAGGGAGAATGCTTGCATCTGAAGAGCATATAAAGCCGTAGAAATACTTTAACAGTACTAATGAGTTGTCATCCCAGCAATAAGGGGACTAATTTAATAGATACTAACTTCGAGTTCATCAATATAAAGGGTTGGCATATATGTCAATTTTCACGAACCCTTACAATCTTTCTTTTGATTTTTTTTTTCTTTTACTACGACTATTTGGAACCCTAGGTACGTAATTTTGGTCTTCATAATTTTAGTCGAGTTACTGATGATGCGGCAAATCACCTGTTACTAAGTAACTCTTCAAAACATTGGGTCATAACTCATTAAACAAAGGGTGGCGGCTTTTCTTCACTTCATCTGCAATAAAAACTCAGCCGTGTGCCATTCAACAGGCACGATGAACTCTTACATAGCATTAGTAGCATCTCCCAAGAATGAAATTATCATAGTTATTTTCAGCAAAATCAAAGACGTGATTTTCTTTTCTTTTCTTTTTACGGAAAAGACAATGAGAATCGCGACCAGGGTTTGCAACCCCATGGGAGTTATTATAATAGGAGCTTCACAGTTGTTGCAAGCTATCTCAATAACGTAGGATTGTAATGAACTTGACCGAGAAAGAACCTTCTACAGATATTATAGAGAGGATACCTCAATGTGTGTAAGAGTAGCAGATGAAGTGCGAATAAACTTCTTCTGGCTCGTTCACCTCCAATAACAATTCCAGGTTTCACTTGGCAGAGAGGCTTCAAACTTTGAAGCGAAGTGGGTAGCAACCAACTCTAGCTTTTCTCTATGCTTCTCTCCTTAACTACTCCAGTTCTGAATCACCAAGGAGAACAGAACTGTAGCAGATTAATATAAAGAAGAGATCCAAAGAGAGGTCAGTGTAAAAACTGCATATTAACTTCTTCCCAACACATAATAGAAGCATGTGAGGTCAGTGCAAAAACTTTATATTAACTTCTCCTACCCATATAATAGAAGCTTGTGCTTATCTTATGGAGAAGAAGAAGACCCACCGCACTTAGAGAGAGAGAGAGAGAGAGCATGAAAAGAAGAGCTTGATTCTCTAAAAGAGACATGATTATGAGTACGTGCTACAGCTGAGCCTAGGAATATATGGGTGATGGAGAACAAAATGAAGCAAAAAGCAGGAAGGATAAACAAACAAACTATGAATGGAATAAAAGAGAAAGCTAGAAAGATTATTCTCTAATGATAGGCGATACTAAAATAATCTCTATATGAATTAAACCAAATTAAAAAGAGAACCAAGGGATCTTATAACCAATGAAATGAATAATGGGTGCAGTAATACGGAATATATGCATCACATGCATGTGCAAGAGAGTAGATATAAAGCAAAGCAAAGAAGACTAGAAAGCACCTCCTAGATACCTTGGTGTGGAAGATAGATACTGCAATTCAGTTGTTATATTATTGCTTCTTGGCTGAGGCGTGCCAAGAAAGAATATATGATCTTCCCACTTTGAATCTAGACAATAGAAAAATTAACCATAATCTGTCAAATAAACAACAACACTCTTTTGTGGATGCGTTTGATGTTTCAACAACACTCTTCAGTAGCTCTGAGAGTCCCTCCAAAGCTTCAAGAAAGAAACTGTGAGACCTGATAATCAATGCGAAACCACACAAACGTTATCTTTATGCACGAGAAAAGGCTTCAAACATCATATATCGGCAAGCGCGCAGAGAGAGAGAGAGAGACTGAAGTTGTTAATAATTATGCTTAACGTCTGCTCCCCCAAAACAGCATAAAACCAGGTGAGTAAGCTTCAAGTTGGAGAGATTCCCAAGAAGACAAGTTTGATCATCAGACTCAAAACCAGTTTGACTCGCATAGTCTAACGTTTAAATTACAACAGGCCACATTGGACTTGCCACCTGCTTGAGTAACATCTGCGCATCATAATTCACGAGAGAGAGAGCGAGAGAGAGAGAGAGAGAGAGAGAGAGAGAGAGCATTGACCAGTTATGAGCTCGAGACTAAAGAAACAGCTCGCCCGTGCTTTTTCCCCAACTTCCGTGCGGTTCTTGGTATAATTACGTTAAACTTCTTCATGCATGCGTCTTAAGGCAATACGACTCTTTTACCCATCAACCTGCCCTGGAGATGAACGCCATCCGGGTGGGTAACAAGGTCATTGCAGGAGGGTAAAACTAGGGTTATCGATGAATCCTGGAGCCACTAAAAACCCGGTCAAAGAAGAACGTGCAAAGGACAGTTTGAAAAAGGTTCAGATGTAAAAAGTTTACAATTTTCTAAATTTCAAAGCCTAAAATTCTGCCGAAATTTAGCCCCCACATCATCGAAATCATCATGACCAAGACGTGCCAAACCCTAATAAAAAGAAAAAAAAAAAGGTTTGCTTCCTTCGAAGTGGCATAAACACTCCAGACCAGCTTCCATGTAATTACATATACAGAGTCTTGCCCATTAGGGTTTGTGCATGTGCATTTACATGTCTCTCGGTCATGCATGATGTGCGCCATAGTTTAATGCAGAATCCAAAGGTGATGACTATATATTAATTGTGCTCGCACATCTTTAAGCAAGTCTGTTGTTAGGCCTTGACCATCCCATTTTATATATATATATATTCATAGACATCGTGCTCATTTATTTTATGTTCACTATGATTGTATTTTCGAAAGTACCGATATATATATATATATATATATATGTTTTATATATTTTCATGGACATTGTGCTCATTTATTTTATGTTCACTATGGTTGCATTTTCGAAAGTGCCATGTTGGTCCATGTCGTTTTCTTGAGATAGGGTTTCTCTTTCTCTCATCGTCTCCCTCTTGTGCCGCGACTTTGAAGGTCCATCGAGAAGGTGCGCCCTACATGGGAGACCATATGGTTTTAATTAATTGAACAATACGTCTAGTCGTACTTTTGTCATTTTCTGACCTTTTAAATGTGCTTCTATGGTTTTATTGTTATAATATTAGGAATTAAATTAACTGTTTGGTGTCTTCACGCTGGGAAATTTTCATGTAGTTAAGAGTGTAAAGGTCTTTTTTTTTTTTTGTATTTTCCTTTGATTATTTGGATGAATAGATGATGTACATTTTCCACTCATGACGTTCAGCGAATTGCCAACGTTCTTCTTTTTTTAGTATAATTTATTAGCACTTAACAGAATATTTACTAGCCTATGACTAAACATGGATTTGGTTAAATAGTAGTTTGTCAATTTATTTGGTAAATATCAATATTTGTTGGTTGATATTTGATGAATTTAATAAGTAGAGGTTTCGATTTATCCATAACTACCATTCAACTATCATAGAATTTGCAATGGGTTAGCATGCTTCCGTTTTCTCTAGTATTGGTAACATTCATCAGTGAGTAAACATGTAAACATTAGGTATGTCTTCATTTCTTATGGTGAAAAAAAAGAGTATTTGCATATGCAACTAAATGCTTGTAAATACCGTTTTATTTGGTTAATTGCAACATCCACTAAATCTTTGCAGAAAATTCTATTTTTTGTCCCTATACTTTCAAGCCTTTTTCTTATCATGCTCATTGTTAGAGTAATTAAATATTAAACCACGCATGCATCTAAAAACTTAAGCTTTTAAAACAGTTGACTGTAGTCCCACAAAATCTCTCATGATATCAGAGTTAGGCTCCGAGTTCAAATCTTTGCGGACCCTATTTGCCTCCCCAATTAAAATGTCCATGCCTAGTACTAAGCAAAAAGACCAGACAAAGTGTGAGGAAGAGTGTTAGAGCAATTAAATATTAAACTACGCATTCATCTAAAAGTTTAAATTTTTAGAATAGTTGGTTGTAATCTCACACTCATGTACTTTTAATATATCCAATCAAGTTCTTCTATTTTTACAAACTTTTGACCAAGTCCATCCAACACAAGTTCTGACTAAATTCAATCAACATGGCCGTCAGACAACCCCAAAATATGATGTAGATCAAATATATGAATACCCACACGAATGTGTGTGGAAAAATGTAGCTAATATAGATAAAGTCAATGTATGATGTAGATAAATTTAGCCAATGTGGATGCCCACCCCATGGCCATCCATATTGATCAAAAACACATCAGTTGGATTTGGTTTGATTTAGTGTCGGAGATTTTTAATTATAAAAACTTGTAAAAGTAAACGGATCTGTTGATTAGATAAATTACAATGCAAAGACTTGATCAAAAAATGTGTGAAAGTACATTGACGGAAAGCCGAATTATTCCATAATAATGG